CTGGGGAGGGGGAACGGTGGGGCTGTGGGTGGAAGGAGGGGGTCAGACAGCTGGGCATGGATGGCTGGCGAGAGGAGCAGGAGCCCAGGCAAGTGGCTTTGGCTAACACGCCGTCCTGCTGCTCACAGGCCTCCAGCTGGAGCTGGGCTCTTCTCTCTCACGCCCCCTCTCTCCTGGGCTTGCAGGGTTCCAGGTTCCTCTGAAGCTGGTTCTCTCGGTAACCACAGCTGTGATTGCTGTGTACCAGGTAAGCCGGCCAGAGCAATGCCCCAGCTGGTTCCCGGGCCCTTCCTACGTTCTGTGGGAGTGGGGCAGCCCAGTCCCAGAACAGCTGGGGGGCCTGGCGTGGGTGGGAGTTTGCCCAGGGTGGGGCCAGGCAGGCTGCTGGTCCTCTGCTCTCTCTGTAGTGCTCATCTGGCTCTTGATTCACAGGTAGCCCTGCTGCTGCTTGTGGGCTTCCTCCCTCCCGTTCAGATTGTGAGGGCCGGGATGACGAAGGAGATCACAGTCCTGCTGGTTCAGTTTGGAGTCGTCCCTTCAAAAAGCCAGGGGGGAGCCCCTGGAGACATGACACAGGAGCTGGACACAGTCAGACACTATCTTTGGTCACTGGAAGGTGAGTCTCCAGTCTCGGAGACTGCCCAGGACACAGGCCATCCATTACCTGCAGCATCAAGAAGCGCCAAAGAATTCCTGACCTCTTCTCATTTCAGTGCTAACTCCCCCCCATTCAGCTAGAGCAGAGGCAGGCAAGATACAGTCCGGAGACTGCCCAGGACACAGGCCATCCATTACCTGCAGCATCAAGAAGCGCCAAAGAATTCCTGACCTCTTCTCATTTCAGTGCTAACTCCCCCCCATTCAGCTAGAGCAGAGGCAGGCAAGATACAGTCCATGGGGTGGATCCAGCCTGCCAAGCCTCCAGGGCCGCCCCGCCAGGACATTCAGGCAGAGAGCAGCCCCACGCCACTTTAAGCAGCTGGCTGCCCCTGCGGCTCTCTGCTCAGGGGAGAGAGGGGGGCGGAGAGGCGCTGCGTGCTGGCTCCGCCCCCAGCAAAATCTCTCAACTCCTTTTGGCTGCTTTCCAGAGGCTAAAGAGCATGGGATACGGAGCCACAGCAGGAGCAGTCTCCTCTCCAGGCCTGGAGTTTGAGGGCCTGGTCCCTAGAGCTCCACCAGGCTGCATGGTCTATGATGTGGCTGAGAGCTAGAGACATGAAAGGAAAGCGAAAAGCCTGGCCCCAGGCCAGCAGACAGGGCTCTGTGAGTCCCCACAGCCAGGAATTCCGCACCCCGCGGCTGCTCGGGGACGGAAGCGAGTCGGAACTGAACAGATGGCTTCTAGAGTGTGGAGGGCTAGGGACTGGCTAACTCAGAGCCCCTGCCAGCCCGGTGCCCCTGCCCCCGCAGTCAGCCGCTCCTTGCGCTCTTAAACCTGCTTGTGATTGTCTCCTGACATCTCTTCCCAGCCCCCGCCCTCCGAGATATTTCCAGTCTGTCACTCCCCCTAGACTGCCCGGCTGATTCCTGCAGTGACACTGGAAAGAGCTGCCAAGTGCCAGGGGAGGCGGGGGGACATGGCGGCTGGGAGGGAAATAACAGCCTGGCTCTGGGTGAGTGGCCCCCAGGGAACATGGGATGGGCAGGTCACAGGGCTAACTCAGGCCACGGGTGCAGGGCAGAGACCCAGAGGGAGAATCCAGGTAGCAAGCCCTGGAGCCACTGAGTGCTAGATGGGGGGCTGGAAACACGGTGTCTACACACCCAAAGCTAGAGAGCGTGCGGTGGCTGCGGGCCCCTAGCCTCTAGGGCAGTGGCTCAACTTGTGGGTCACGACCCCATTTTGATGGGGTCACCAGGGCTGGTGTTACACTTGCTGGGGCCCAGGGCCCAAGTCCGCGGGGCAGCCTTGCGGGGTCCTGCTGTGATTTGAGTTATCTGAAGGGGCTCGCGGCGCAGTGAGGTTTGGGACCCCTTGCTGTAGGGTGATGGCATGTGACTGGAGGCCTGTAGCTCTTGGCTGTCATTCCCATCGAGTGGGAGTTCAGTTACCTAATACAGCCTGGCCTGACTCTTGGCCCTACCCAGTCGTTGGAGCAGCCCAGCAGGTGGGAGGCTGCTGTATGTTTCCCTGCAAAAGTAGTGAAATATTCTTCCCATTTTACTGGTTTGGAAACTGAGGCACGAGTGATGCAAGATCACACAGGCAAAGCTAGGAACGGAACCCAAGTCCCATTAGTGCTTTACCTACCCGGTGACTTCTGGTGACAAGTAACCACATCATGCCATCTCATCACCCTTCCAGCCCCTGTACCCCCTCCTCCGCCCCTTCTCCAGGTCAGAACCTCCTCCCAGACCTTGCTTCCCAGCCTACACCCTACATCCCAACCCAAATCCCTACACCCACTCCTGCCCCAGGTCACAACCCCCTCCCAGACCCTGCACCCCCCCTTCTACACCCCTTCTCCAGGTCAGAATCCTCTCCTGCATCCATGCCCCCCTGCACCACCTTCTGTCCCAGTCATAACTCCCTCCTCAAAGCTCCCTTCTGCACCAACCTCCATCCCAGCCCCGCATCCCCTCCGTTGGTATCGTGGAGGAGTGCAGCCCTGGACCGTTTTTACACCTGCCGTTCCCGTGAGCCGTGACTGGGCGTTGTGGGTCCAGCCCAGTCCACCGTATTCTGGTTCGTATGGCAGCTCTCCCTGTCTGCTCCCTTGCAGTGTGCTACGTCTGCTCCCTGGTGCTCTCTTGCCTGCTCACCTTCTCCATGCTGATGAGGTCCTTGGGGACGCACAGGTGAGAGCCTATTTCTGACTCTGTTCTGAGGCCTCGCCGTGATGGACCAGTGAGAGCTCCCCAAGCCTCCACCACCCTCTCCTGGCAGAGGACCATGAGGAGGCTGGACCTGCAGGCAGAATGGGGCTTGTGCTATGCAGGAGAGTGCTTTGTGGCTTACCTGTCTGCCCTGAGCCTCCCTCCACCCCCGGGGTTGGGATAGCCCTGGTTGTGGAACCAAAATGCCCCGCCTCCCCCCCAGCACCTCACCCACGCTGCCTTTGGGTGCCTAAAGAGTCTGTCTGACCCCAGCACCTCACCCACGCTGCCTTTGGGTGCCTAAAGAGTCCGTCTGACTTCTTCTCTTTCCGCAGGGCCAACCTGAGGGCTCTGTACCGAGGGGCTGTCCTAGACGTCTTCTGCCGTGCCCGGACACTCGGCCCATCCCAGCAGGCTCTGGTCTGCTGGATGAGCTTTGCCAGCTTCCAGACTGCATTCGCCTGCCTGGGTAACACGCGCTGGGCCGGGCCTTAGGCCTGAGAGGAGATGTCGTGGGCTGGGGCATTGGCGGGAGGAGTTGGGAGACAAATGCTGAGGTGTAGGGGAGATACGTGGGGCCAACGCCTCAGCGGTGGCCAACTGGCAGAGCTCCACGACGGGCAATGGGACTGCCCGGATTGGCACTGACGCCAGCGCTCGGGCAGCATCCCACTAGGAGACGCAGATGCAAATAGTTCGGCTTGTCAGTAAAAATGGGACCTTCCCAGAAGATGGATCCTTTTTAAAACAAATATCCTAAAACCCTGCTTAGCAGGCCTGGTCAGCTCTCTGCAAAACTTTGAGAGCCCTAGTTACTAGATGGTAGGGTTGTTAAAAAGCAGGTCATTGTGCGACTGTAACAGCTGAAAATTTACAGTTCCCCTCCCCGGCAGCCCAGAGTGGCAGCTGGCTCCTGCCTGCTGGCCCCGCTCCCAGAGAGCTGGCTGCCTCTGCCTTGGGTAGCTGTGTAAATGGTGATCCTGTTACGGCAGGAACGTGCTCGTGATAGCTAGTGGGGATATGAGGCAAGTGAATGGATGGCCTGAAGCGTTTTGAAAGAAGCTACATTTGGTTATGAGCCATCTGCTGCCTCCTTGGAAACCCAACAGCCCTAGTTGCCCCATGCTAATCCCCAATTGGCCTTGGAGACATGCAGCGAGCCTGAAGGGGGACTAGAATGGGCAGCAGGCACTAACTGACCTTGTTGGCCATTTCAACAGTCAGGCCAAGGGCTGCATTGACCCTGGCGCCAGAACTCTCTTCCCACCGCCCAAAAGTGGCCTCGGGACGTGCTGCAGGGGTGGCAGGGGAAGCTCACCCAGCGGGCTGGTAGACGCGCAGTGGACTGCGGGGTCCCTGGTCGGGAAGCGCAGCCCTGCAGCCCTCGCCATCTAGGAGACTGGGGCAGATTGCCTTGTGGCACGGCCTGGTGCTGGGACGGTGACCCCTGGTCTGAGCTCCTCGTTTGGAAGTGCTTGGGGGGAGGGGCGAATGGATTTGCTGGAGGACACCGTCTCCACCTGCTCACCTCTAGGCCAGGCTAAATGAAGCCTTGGTCCTGTGAGTGCTGCTGGCCTGGTGCGATGGCTCCTGGAAATCACCGTTCCAAACTTCCGACTCTTCTGTGCCACACTAAATGCAGTCCTGCGCCGTGTGCACGCGCAGGGCCAGCCCGACCACAGCCACGGACTAGGTTAGACAGCCGGGTTAGACAGCCGGGAATGTTTGTTCTGTTTACAAGTCTCTCTGCCCGTTACCTCTTACAAATGCAAGTGTGAAATATTGTACGTGTCACAGACCTTGAGGTCTGTTCTTCCACGCCGTGGAGCATGGCACGTGTACGTAGATGCGGATAAAACGTGTCACAGCAGGGCTTCAAAAGCGCATCACCTGGCTTTGCTGCCGGAGGGGAGGCACTGACCATACATGTTCCGTTCCATTCCAATTGCAATAATGTTCGACTAGGATAGAAAGTCTGGTCTTTTGTTTAATTTTTAAAACGGTTTTAAGTGAACATTGAAATGCTAAAATAAATGGTACTGGCTTTGTTACTATAATGTCGTCAGATGTGCAGTAACTTCTCCTTGCTCTCTATTGACTGTGGGTGGGTTCCAGAGTCATGGTCTGCCTAGGATGTCACGACCCCTTGGGTCAGCTCTGTGCGTGTGAACAGGGCAGAGCAGTCCTGTATGTTAACACATGGGAGGCAGGGGAAGTAACAGATTGGCAATGGCTGGAGGCTGAGTTTGCTTTTTTTTTTAAACGTAGCATTGAAGAGAGAGGTGCATGAGGTGAGACTTTCAAAAGCATGTAGGTGACTTGGGGCTAATTCCCGGTGATATTTTTCAATGGAGCGTATGTCTCTAAATCACTTGGGTACTTTTGAAATCCACTGTCAATTGTTGGCTGTAATGGAAACTGGGTGCCTAACTCATTTAGGCTCCTTGGCAGTAATCCCGGTCTAGCTGCCTAGAGTGTAAAGCCAGGAGAAGGTGACTTGGGGCTAATTCCCGGTGATGTTTTTCAATGGGGCATATGTCTCTAAATCACTCGGGTACTTTTGAAATCCACCGTCAATTGTTGGCTGTAATGGAAACTGGGTGCCTAACTCATTTAGGCTCCTTGGCAGTAATCCCGGTCTAGCTGCCTAGAGTGTAAAGCCAGGAGAGCAGAGGTGCAGCCACACAAGCCAAAGGAGGGGCCTTGGAAGGATGGTGCAGCTCTGAGGAACATCGAGAGACTGAATAGGGTTAGAGGATGTGTCTGCCTTAAGCCCTCAGCGGCTGCAGGAGCCGGCCAGTGATTCCTCCACCTGTCTCCTGGCAATGCTTTACCCTGCACTGTGCCTGCTCCTCTGTGTCTCCAAGGTCTCCTCATCCAGCAAGTGATTTTCTTCGTCTGCGCCGTGGGCTTCAGCTTCCTGGTGGTCATTCCGCTCCAGTCAGGCGCCCACATGCATCTGTTTAAAATCCTGGAGAACATGTGGTGAGTGTTCGTCCAGCCAGGCTGCGGTCCTGGGAGCCTAATACAGGGGAGGCGGGGAATGCGATACTCCATCAAGCCACAAAAGGACCCATGGCTCCAGCCACACAGCGCCGTGGTTCTGCATCCTGGGGCAGTCTTGCGGGGGGCTTTTCAATTGCCCTTTTGCACAATAAGACTCGCTCTGGGACAGCAGGGGCTGGTTCATGGATTTGGGAAGGGGGATCCCTTCGGCTGCATCTTCCAGCTGTAGGCATCTTGGTGATTGCCCTGCATAGCTCTCTCCTTCTGCGGAAGGCATGGAGCACCCAGGACAGGTAAATGCCCAGTGTCTTTCCCAAAAAATGTCAAGTAAAAACATCAATTAATTCTCAGTCCAGTTCTTACTCCAATGCTTTTATTTAATTTATCAACCATAAAATAAATAGCTTTTAAACAAGCTGCAAATTCTAAGCACAAGAAGGCTGTATTCAGTAAAACTCATTTTTTAAAGTATTTCATATTGGTAATAATCATCAAATCCTCTGTCTAAAGCAGGGGTGGGGAACCTTTTTTGGGTTGGGGGCCACTAACCTACAGAAAAATCAGTCAGGGGCCGCTAGGGTTGCCAGGTGTCCGGTATTGAACGGGACAGTTTGGTATTTTCGCATCCTGTCCAGTAAAAAAATTCAGAAAATACCAGACACATATTTTCTGTTTTTTTTTTTCCTGGCCAGGAGGCAAAAATCCCGGGTGCTTACCAGCTTGGGCAGGGGAGCTGTCTGGCCCAAAGCAGGGAGACAAGATGGCACATGGCAGCCTGGTAGGGCCAAAGAGCCTCAAAAGCATTTCTTAAAGGGGCCATGCTGCTTTTAATTTTATTTATTTATTTGCTCAACAGCTTTGGTCTCTTCCCCCTCCCGCCCCATCTTTTATTTCTCAACAGAATTTTTTCCCCTGTGGCTTTTTTTTTGCGGCCATGCTGTTTTAATATTTAATTTCTTTTCTCAACAACTTTGGTCTCCCCCCCTCCTTTTTTTCCTCAACAGAATTTTTTCCCTGTTTTTTTTGGGGGGGAGGGGGGGGGGGTTCAGTATTTTTGGTTCAACCATCTGGCAACCCATCCCCTCCCCACCCACATTGTCTGCCAAGTCAGAGCCACCATGGCAAACCATTGACAAATGGCTTGGGGTCCCTAGCTCTGAGCCTGGATTCACCCTCCAAGGGCAGGGGCTATGGAATAATACTGGGCAGACAAGTCAGAAGAGGTCCCCAGGAGCTCCTACGGGGTAGCCGTATGGTTGCTCTCCCTAGAGCAGGTCGTGCTCACTCACCCTTGTTTCCCCAGAGGGTGCTGACAGGTGCAGTTTCTAGGCTCTCATAATTGTAGGGGCTGCAAATTGTGTAGCCCCCGAGCACATGCGGTGGACTCCTGCCCCCCTATCCCCATGTGGCATCTCCAGGCAATTGCATAACGTGGCCCAAACATTCAGACCCTCTGCTCCATGAGCAACTGACTTGCAAACTCCCTGACTGACTCCCCCCTTCCACCCAGGCCCTTCTGGCTCATGCTGGTGCTCGCTGTGCTTGTGCAGAACTTGCTTGCTCATTTCTGCTTCCTGGAGCAACCCTACCTGCAGAAGGAGCTGACCAACAGGTGAAGGGGGGGGAGGGGCTGAAGTGAAACGTGCACAGGGCTGCAGGACGCCTCGTCTGGGTTTGGTGCACGAGGCTTCGAACACACCTGGCTGCCAGGTGATGCGGGGCTGAGCCGTGTGAAATGCCAGAGCTGCACCTGAGCACCCAGTTCCCCCGGTCCTGCCTGGCATGGTGTTCACCGCGAGGCTGAAGAGCTCTCCTGGTCTGGCTGTGAGCACTTAGCCCATGGGGCAGAGCCCCACGTCTCCAGCAACGGTGAAGCTTCCCAAACCCTGCCAGAGGGGTTGGTAACTGCTGACCTGGAGCCATTGGCTGGGCCCCAGGCCAGTGTGCTCCCTGGTCTTGCCCTTTCAGTAAAGCGCACACTGGTTGATCTGCCCCCGAAGCGTTCGGCGAGAGGGGGCCGTTGATCATCCCGTCTGCTTCCCAGCAGAACAGAGGCCAGAGGACTCGGCAGCGAGCCCAGGTGACGGGAGAGCCCTGCACGCGGGAGAGCCCTTGCAGGCCTCCTAAAAGCGGCTGTGTCTGCGCTCGCTGGCGAGGAAGTGCCCTGCGGTGCCCAGAGGGGCTGCAGCACTCCCCTGCCAGTCTCCTGGGGCTTCCCAGTGAGGAGGGGCAGAGGCTGGGTGCATCCCCAGCGCAGCAAGTGGCTCTTAGCTAGCGTGGGCTGGGAGTCTTGGCTTCCAGGCCCTCTCGTTTCATCTCTGCCTCACTGTCCCAGGCGAGCCCTGTGCATCGTGACCTACCTGCTCTTCCCCATCAACGTCCTGGTGGGCGTCCTGGCTGGGATCTGGAGAATGGTCATTTCTGCGCTTTACAATGCTGTCCATTTCTGCCAGCTGGACGTCAGCTTGCTGACCCGGGGCGTCGAGGCCTTCGATCCAGGTAAAGGACATGACCGCCTCCACCTGGAGCCAGCATGCACCGCACCCTCCCTGTCCTGGCATTCCCGTGGCAGGCACGTCCTCCCCGGGGCCCAGCCCTGTAGAGCTCGCAGGGTGCTCCTGGGTTCCTGCGGAGGCGAATCTGCCTTCCCAAACAGCACTGCACCACTGTCTGCTCCTGAAAATCTGCTTCCTGTGCAACCTGTCAGTTTCCCTGTTCTCCTGGGCTGGTTCTGGTGAAACTTGGCCTCTCTGGGACCGAGAGGGGAAAGCCCACAGCCCGGGTTCTAATCTCTGTTTGTACTGGTGTGAATCTGGAGTGACTCCAGAACTGCTCTGGACTTAGAGCAGTAGCTGAAATTGAGGCGCATCCCTCTCCCCACCCCCCATAGCCTCTTTCTCTGTGAAGGAGGAGAAAACCGAATGATGCAACCCTGTGTTCTGCTTTCCCCCCTCGGTGTGCACACGTGCATGCTCTGGAGCCCGCTTCCCCCCTCGGTGTGCACACGTGCATGCTCTGGAGCCCGCTTTCCCCCTCGGTGTGCACACGTGCATGTTCTGGATCCTGCTCTGATAGGTGGCCTGTTTCCCCTCCAGGCTACCGCACGTACTGCCATTACTTAAAAATTGAGGCCAGTCAATCGCACCCAGTGATGAAAGCCTTTTGCGTCTTGCTTCTCCAATTACCTGGCCCAGAGAGGCAGGCAGGACTCAAGCCCACGGACGTGGAAGAAGGTGAGATCTTGCTTCCTTCCTGTCCCCCCTCCCCCCAGCTTTGAGTTAGTGCTAAAGGGCTGCTAGCCATGAGAAGCAGTGTTTCCTGGGGGGAAGGGGCGTGTCCGTGGACAGTCTCCTGAGCTGGGGGCAAATAGCGCAAGGGGCCCGTGTGGGGAATGTCGGGCTCTGTTCACAGGCCGGGTCTCTGCATTGGTTGCCCTTCTAGGGGTGGTTTCACCCTTCCACTCCTCAGTGCCAGTTGCCACAAACGGGGGCGGGTGCTGAATTCCATCTGTCCAGGGCAGGCTGGGAGCAATGCCCCGTGTGCCCCCCGGCTCGGGGTGCTCCCACACTGCCTCCTGCCCTGAATAATGCTC